CCACCAGTCCTCGAGGAGATACTTGATTAAGCTTTACCAAAGAAGCCAAAGAGTGGCTCTATTTATAGCTAAAGGGAATTTGACATACATTGCACTCACAACAATTTGAGTCAGAATCTGACTGTAAGAAAAATGAGTGTATATATGTATATGACAGAAGGAATCACACGTAATACTATAACTATCATGTGCATGAGATCAAGTGGACGAATCCACAAGTAGATACTATTTGCCGTAGCAATGAAGCTGGGCATGCGAATTGAAAGTCGCTTTCATTCATATATATACCAATGGCATGGAAAGTACTACCATCCTAGTTGCAAGGTCCAAATTCATAATATTAACTTTGAAAAGGTTAAATACAATACTAGCTTGTAATACCATTGTATTCATCTCCAATGACGGGGCAACAAGATTCAGATTTAATGGGTACAACAATTGTCACTCTAGTGACAACGTCCAAATTCATAAATTTATCTCATAAAAGCTAAAAACAATTCTAACTTGTAATATCATTGTATTCATCCCTAATGGCAAAGTTTAAACTATATATATTTAGATTCAGTAACAATTTCATTTCATTTCAATTCACATATCAATTTCCAAAACCATGATAAAGTGCATTTCTCAAAATTATTTTTAGTTCGTACATTATTCTTCAAGTATCATTTCAAGACAGATTCAGAATATAATAAATCATCAATTCATAGCTTTCAAATCAATTTTATAGTTATAAAATATAAAATAATTCATACGAAAACAAAATTTCATATAAAAATAAACAAAATCATATTTGACTTATTTTAACATTATATACTTATACATTTATAAAACAATCAAAGATTCAATAAGCCACTTACTTGATTTGCCATAGTATATAATCACACGTTGATTTCTTGATGCACTACAAGAATTTAGAAACCCAATATTTACAACTATGTTTAGTAACCAATCACATAATAATTAATTAATTAATGATTATGTTAGCTTTCAATCTATCCTCAGTCATGATTATTTGATAGATGTAATGGCTATTATGAAAAAGAGTTTAAACTTCCAAAGACTAATAAGAAATCTATTATATAAAAACTAAATGCTAAACACCAAAAACTTAAATTTTCTACATGGCTATAATTTATTGAAATTATAGCCTACATGTTGTAGATACTAAAATTTTAGCATCTAAGGAAAATTAATTTCACACAATAAAATATATACTACTCGGGATGGATATCACACTTACACTTTAAAGACGTTTGATTCACAAAATCTTTGATTACCACTTTGAATGTTGAAAATATTTTTGAGTTTGTTGGGGTTTGGTTTATTTGATATGTTGTATGTTGATAATGTTTGCTTCCAAATTGTCAAAAATTTGATTGGAAACCCATATCTATTCCCTATTAGGTTATCTTTTATTCTTAGAAAAATGTGAATTTTCTTCCTTTATCCCTTACTCAAAATTTTCTTTGGTCCATAATGTCCTTGTAATAATTGAATGGAACAAATATAATAAATAAATAAATCTCAATTTCCACATACCCCAAACTCAAAAGTTTTCTTCTTAGTTTTACAAATCCCAACCGTTACAATATATTTTCTCATTCTTAAAATAGATATTTTATTATATATTTGAATTTAAAATTGCTTTGAGAATATTAGCAACTTTAATTTTATTTTTTAAAGATTTTAATATTGATTAAAATTAATAATTCAATAAATAGATAAACAATTTAAGCATAAATACCTTTCAATAGTGTTATAAATAATTTGTTAATTATATGTTGTTTTCAATTTGCTTCATTTTAATTTCAATGTGTAGTTTCATAAAGAATTGTATTTATAGAATATATAAGTTCATTTATTACTATAGTATTGAAGGACATTTTAGTAAAATTAAAAGGAATGATATATTCTTAAACAACCAAACGAAGTTAAGTTATATTTAAGTTATGATGATCAAATATTCTTAGTCAATCAAATGAAGTTATATTGTGTTAAAGGAATGAGAACAAAATACTGACATGAAATATATTATGCCAAATTGACTTTGCAATCTTTTAAAGGGAGAATCTATTCCCAAAGAAGCACTTGAGATTTTATTAACAAAGTACCTCCTTCATGTTATACTTGCCTTTTATTTTGATTAACCATTAAAAAAATTATTTACCAAATAATGTCTTACTTGTCATCATAAAAAATGTGGCCAAACTATCAAAATATTCAACAAAACTAGCTTTTCTCAAATAATAAGATATACACAAATTCTTATCGGTGACGGATTGAGATATTTATTTGTAATATACATAAAAAACTTATAAACAAAAATTAAAATAATATATTATTGGTGTTAAACCATTTTATTTAACTAAAAATTTTGACTCTTAAAGTAATAGTTCGTGTTTTTTCAATTTGATTTTGTTTAATGCTTACAAATCCATAGGCGTGTTATCTAAAATATTAGTAGTTTT